ATTATTATTATTACTAATACATTGTTTGTCACCGCGAAAATTTCCAAGTGGTTTCTAACAACTCATATCAAAACGAAATAATTTCCAAAAAAAAAAACCAATTTTTAAAAGATATTGTTTTTATCTAAAAGCTGTTGTTCATCGACTGCTGAAAACCTAGAATAAGAAATATTAAGCTTTGAACAAAGTGTTCGCTGATTGGCTAACTCGTTCTGGCTGAGAGAAGCCATGTCGGGATATCAGAAAAGTGTTATACTGATGCGATGACTGGGTTCTTGTTTCAATAGCCTCTTCGGCTTGGGGTAATGTTTTCCCATTTCWGACCACTTGTCATTCCCTAGAGTATTATTTCTTTGTTTAAAGTTCGCGCTCGGTTGCACATGAGAAGACAAATGAATATGGATACAGCTCAACAAAGCAGCGTATTCTCAAGGGAATGACACGTGGTCTGAAATGGGAAAACATTACCCCAAGCCGAAGAGGTCTATTAAATGCAGGTTATACCAATTCTTTATATTTCTACTGAAATAAATATGCTTATTCCGTCAAACATGCACATGAAGAAACAAGGGTTCTGGCTACGAGATTGGTGTAGTGAAGTCGAAACTGCTTTAAAACGTTAAAAAAATATTTAGTAATTTGTCTATCTAATATCCCTGTGTTTTTTTACAACATGAGTTCTACATCGAATCCAATCAGAGGGCGGTTTTGTCATTTCTCCCCTCATTGACAGTAAGTTATCACTCTTGCGCAGTCTATAATACTTAATCGTATTCATTCTGCAATGAAGCAGACAGTTCGTTGTCGCTAAATGAAATGCGTCATATGATTTACACTGAACGAAAAAACTGCAACCCCTTGAAAACCTGATTCTGAACTTTTGTTACATTTTTTCAAACATTTTAATGAATCGATTCGCCGGTGAGAGGATTTAGGATTCCATAATTCATTGTGTAAAAAAGCTTTACTGCGATGTCTATAATATCAACCGTTTATAAGTTTTGTAATTTGTTTTTGGTTATTCTTTCGTCTGGTTCCTGTTTTGCCCTTTCTCCCCAAATATTTTCTTCTGTAAGCCGATTGTGTTGCTTTAAGAACAATTGTGTAAATAGCACATTCAAGGTTATACTAAACTTCCCCACTTTGACGCCACGGAACGCAACCAAATCGAAGCTTATCCAGCTTATCGAAATCGATTAGATCAGATTTATTTTTCCTGAAAATAGGATCCCGATTCATTCATTACGCGATGAAAAACCCATGGAAACCTTTTTTGCTAACAAAGATCGTCACCATGGAAACCTGACATTGAACAAGTTTACTAATGGTATTTGTCCATCGTAATCGCGATGATGGAATCGAAAAGAATAAACGAAAAAACCTCTTACAATGCTATCAAATTTTACTTTCCGTCATTGTTTCTGTGGGTAATTTGTCTCYAAATAAAGTGTCACAAAAGAAGGTTCTAAATGCAAATTGAAATCAAGCGGCATTTATTATATAAGAAAATTTTTCTAACCAAAAATGTGCATTTAGGATTCTTTCATATATTAGTGAGTGTTTGGAATTAAAACAAATTGTATATATAATTCCTTTTTTTTTTTATAAAGATAAACTTAGAAATACTGAATCCTTTGTAGTCTATTTTTCTTCGCCAAAGAGATTGACGTTCAAATGATGTGACCGTTTTTCCTCTCATCGCCATTCAAGTTTGACTTTATGTCAGTYTATTTGTCACGTCTTCCGTGCAAAAGTCAAAGCACTGGTCTTAATTCACATTACTGCTTTTAGTTTTTAAAAAGCATTAAGGATATTTTTGTTAATCCAGTTAATCTGATGGTTGGTAGCCGATATATTTTCAATACCATTTTACCATCGATTTGGTTTCTCTCTCTCTCTCTCTCTTGTTTACATAATTTTTAAAACCTTGGAAAGAATACTATAAAGACGCTTAATTTACACACATGTTAAGAAAGTACTTAGGGAATTCAAAAGAGTTTCATGCAGCACACGGTTAAAAATGCGCGAATTCGGTCCGTACTCGGGCGCGCAAAGCATTATGGCCTTGTGTATATCTTAGTTGCTAAGATGAAAATAGAATGATCAGAGAGCAGTGTTTTTTGAATAGCACGAGCTCTATTTATGTCCAAATGTTTTGATCTATGCCTTATAATCACTGTATTCATTTCAGATTTCCCAAGGAGACAAGTTAACCCTAAGAGAATCTTCGAGGTTCACGATTCTAGTTCCGTGGTTGAGTGGAATATTTACGATCGCTGGATCTATCTACAGCTTGACATGAGAACGTCGCAACAGCAGTGAAAAGCACGGAATCTAGCCCTAGAGAACTATAAGCCGTGATTTCCAGTTAAAGAACATGGGAAAGACCCTCAAATATTTATATTTTTGCCAAATCTATTTAAGTGCAAGAGGAGGAGGAAGTCAACGTGACGTGCATCGTTAGTCCTGACATATTACTATAAAACTACCGTGAAAGGCTACGAAGGCTGGACCCAAAATGCGTATTTTAACTTGTAGAAAGCTTAACAGAGTGTATAGAACTGAGCGTAGAAAGGTTTCTTCGTATATAGTGCCAATGGTTTCGTTGGTTGTGTGTGTGATCCTTGGAATACTGGTGTGTTATCTCGATATAAGTACGATGACAAGTGAGAAGAACTCTCTCACATACCAAGGAATATTTCACCATCGTTCACTACTAAACGCGTCTGAACCTACTGAATCACCAGGCGAATACCCAGAGGATATGTTCACCTTAGAGCAGAGGAGAAAAGGCGCCGTAATACTACATATTATTGGCATGTGCTATATGTTTCTTGCCATTGCATTGGCTTGTGATGAATTTTTCGTGCCCTCGCTTGTTGTCATCATAGAAAGACTTCAAATCTCCGAAGATGTTGCTGGAGCTACGTTTATGGCTGCTGGAGGCAGCGCTCCAGAGCTATTTACTTCTTTTTTTGGTACTTTTGCAGATCCTAACTCAAATGTTGGTATTGGAACGATCGTCGGGTCTGCTGTTTTTAATGTCTTGTTTGTAATTGGGATGTGCGCGATGTTCTCAAAAGGGGTTCTCGAGCTAACTTGGTGGCCGCTTTTTCGAGACTGTATGTTCTACAGCTTCTCTTTACTCCTGTTAATAATATTTTTTATCGGCGATTGGATCCAATGGTGGGAGTCATTGCTGTTGTTGTCTTTCTTCGTCTTCTATGCTATTTTTATGAAGTACAATCGAACGATCGAACGTATAGTAAAAAATTTCCTACGATCGAATAAAGTCAGTAAAGTGGATGTTAGGGATCCAGGATTGGCGAATCCCGGAGTCCACAGAACAGAACATTACCTAGAGGTAAGATAATTCAATAATTTTTTTCCTTAAAATTATACAACCCTTAAAAAAATTAGTATACGTTATTTAAAATCGCCAATGGATTAAAACCTATGATGAAATTGAAACATTATCGTCGTTATCAGATTTAAAATTCCCACAAATATTGCTAGAACAAGATACTTTATATATATTGCTTTAGGCAAACTATACCATCGATAAAGTAATGTATATGTAACGATAAGACTCGAAACATGAGCTCAATATTATGATTTTTTTCACCTCCTGCTGAAAAACAAATCAATTATTATCTTTGTCAGAATACCACAAACATTTTTTCCTCTTTTCTTCATAATTAGACGGCAGATTTGTTTTGTCCGACCGTTCAGTTCATGAATGCTTATTACACCTTCAAAACGTTTTCAYATTCGGGTTTTTATGAAAATTTCAGTTAATTAACCCTTGGGCCACCTGGATGTTATTCTCATTGTTTGTTACATGAAAAATTGTAAAGCTTGATATTCTTAAGTTTGCTGTTGATATTACAGTTAAACGTCTTTTTCTTTCTTCCTACACGTTAATAATTTTATCGGTTGCTAAGTGACCATGTTACTTTTCATATATCAGTATAGCTAGATATTGATCTAGTCTCAGTAAGCTTCTCAGTAAGCTTAAGAAAGGCTGTATCTGTATTATGTCATCTTGCTGTAGTATTATATACTCGTTATGTGTTTTTTTTCTGCTTTGGAAAAATTATCAGCCTAGTGCAATAAAAATTCATTTACTGATTGAAATAAAGTCACTGAAGTATCACTAATGAGGCCTGTTAGTTTCAATGTGAGTTAATGAGATTTATAGTTATTGCACTARAGAGTGCCGTCAACCATGCTGTAATAGCATCGTGGTCTAAAGACTAGATTTTAGGTCTAGCTGGGAGAGTTAAGAAAGTCAATAATCATTAAAAGTGGCCATATCATCAGTATAGGTAACTGAACTGTTGTCAAAATGGAGCTTTATTATCATGAAGTCCTTTTGTTTGGCATGATTTGTGTACTTTCAGGACCGGTCAAATTATGTCAACAAAAGCCCTATTTTAATGAAACCTAAAGCATGAGTTAAGCCAGGGATTAACTAACTTACTGTTATAAATTTATGTGTGGGGGCAGATTTTTCAACTTTCTGATATGCAAGCTGATCTTCATGCAAATRAATTATGCAACAGAGGAACAGACTAATGAACTTGAAACGATATTATTTGTGTATGCAGATATTTTGACATCTTTAGGATGTGCAGTGCCTCATGCTAAAAGTATGTTTTGTACTTGTCAGTATATCTTCATTGTTCATTAATAGTACAAATAAACATGTTGAAAAACATGTACACATTTTTATGCAAATRAATTTTGCTTCAGACAAATATACTAATGAACTTGGGAGGTTATTAATGCATTGTTTGTGCCAGCAGATATTTTGACATGTTTGGGATGTGCGTCGCCTCATGATTAACTTTTGACGACTCTTAAAACTCTAGTGAATKCGAGCTTTTGAATCCAGGAGTTGCATGTTTCGTTATTTTAATTTCTGCTTTTGTTTACTGACCTCAGAAGTGAGAAGAAGCCCACATACACTGGAGTTTTGAGAGTCGTCGATATGTTGTACTCTCTACATTTTTCATTAATAGTACACTTGAACAAGTTTAGCATATCTACAAAGCTTTTCGYGGTTGTATCACAGCTTGGGACAATCACAACAGAGCTACTGTATAGGCTCCAAACTAGGTGAAAGCCCAAAGATCGAATTAGAATTTAGAAACATCACATATAAACATCAATTGTATTATCCTAAAAGCTCAAGAGTTTAGTTTATGTATTAATAATAACAAATGTAGTTGTATTCTAAAAAATTACTTATGGATTTAATCAGTATGATGATAGATAAATTTCCAACAAATTTTGCTGGGGGATTGGATTTTGAAGCTATCTATCCTTGTTTTATGAGAGGGACTAACACTTAAAAGCCAGTGACTAACGAAATGTGTGTGTGTAATTGGGGAGTCAAAAGCTACTGTACACTATTGTCTTGCTACATGGATTTGTTATCAAGAGTTTGCTATTTTAAGGACATTTTGGCACATTGCAATATATTAGAATATTGGTATTTCTCTCTATGACAGTATTGTGATGCATTTTATTTTTTCCCAGAAGGCAATAGAATATCTGGGCTCCAATGCCAAACAAAATGCTGAACGCCCATGCTTTCACTATGGTGCTTTTCAGCTGGTTGTTAATTCGATGGATCCTTTGTGGGATGGTAAGTCGATAATAATTATTTATATAAGAACATCAAAAAATTAAAGTAGTGGATCCAGGAATTTTAGAAGAGGGTGACTATTATGAAGGTTTTACCAGGAATTTTTCAAGTGGCTCGGATGACCACTTTAAATGGTAGTCCCGTCTCTCCACACTCATCATTACTAACCAACATTGGAGGAACATAAAAGRACCACTGARGACGTAMAGAAACCCTGGYAGTGACCACCCTCAGTGCCTACACTTCATACTAACCATCTCTCATGCTTGTAAATTGCATAAAAGCAATCTGTCGTTCACAAAACTCAATGTAAATCGCCTTTGATTATGTCCATATAGAAAGGGTGCTAAATAAATCATAAATCATCATCATCATCATCATCATCACCATTATCATTATCATTACCATTACCATTACCATTACCATTACCATTATCTTTATCTTTATCTTTATCTTTATCTTTATCTTTATCTTTATCTTTATCTTTATCATATCATTATCATTATCATTATCATTAATTTGAAGAAAGAGGGGTGGCTTACTCAGGATTGTTCTATAATGCAATCTCCACGCTTCATACTATCTATTTGTTAATTAGTCCTGGGTGCAAGAGTACCTTGTTTTACCCTCTTGGGTTGTCTCTCTTGCACCCTCCACCTTTCCATTTTTTCTTATTGTAATTTATGTATTATGTATTTGTGTAAATAAAAACCTTTGAACCTTTTCAGCCAATCAGTACTGAGATGTGTGAGTAAAATGTATAATAAAATAGAATAAGTTGGTGTTTTGAGAACTGAGTTTTGCTTGATATTATGTGTTATAGCATCTATAGCTGTGAGAGTAAAACATATCAAACAGATGTCAATGACAGCTGATGAAGCACCTGAAAAGCAACAAGACCAAGAGCTCAAATATTCAACAGTAGACCTGCAGAAAAAACCCTCATCTTCAGGTTCTCAGCACCTAACAGAAAATGGGACAACCCAAACTGATGTCGACTTTCCAGATGGGATGAAAATGTCAAATGAAGAAGACCATTCGAATGGAAACATTCCCGACAGAGATCTTGGGAATGGATCATGTGTTAATGAACAAGACTTTTCTAGCAGCTACCATGTTGTATGTATAGATTCAACTATACCTGGCATGTGCGCAGATAATAATAATAAAAGAAGGGCATCTGATTCATCCAAAGTATCTCAAAATGCTGTTACGACAAAAATGTCAGAGGAAGAATCTGTGGTTGAGGAGGCTGATAGCATAGACGACGTAAGTTGATCAGATCAGATTCATTTATGTTGTTTGTCTCAGATTATATGCTGAGTATTAGTCATTCTTATGTTGAGGAAAAACTAGGTTGGGTAGGCTTTGCAGTGAATTGTGGGACATTTAGGGGAAGATAGATGATATATTGAAAGCACTTGTTTTGTCACTTTTATTTGATACATACTGTAATCATCCCTTGAGCCAATTGATTGGGAATAAGATTTGTTTTGATAATTCGGTGTATTTGAACTCAATGCTCCATTTTATAGGGTTTGAAATTAGTAGAAAGTTCAGGAAGTAATCACAATTYGAGTGTCCTTGCTGTGCTCACAAAATACTTGACATTAGTCTTTTTTGTTTTATTGACCAACATGGCCACATGTCTTGTGTTATTTCTTTCTCAATATGGTATTGAGCTTGTTAGCTTCAATTCCTGACTGTTTTTAGTTTGACGACAAGCCTATTGATCTCAGCTGGCCTGAGGGATGGAAGGAACGCCTGGTGTATATTATCAAAGCTCCTATTATGTTTCCACTGTATTTTTCCATGTTTGATGTTAGAAAACCAGTAAGTGCTCCTAAAATATTATGATTATTATTATTATYGTCATCATTATTATTAATTGTTATTTATTATTATTTCCATTTATTTAATTATCCATCCATCAATCTATCCATCCATCCATCCATTCGTTTAATAAAACATTCATCCATCCATCCACCCCTCCCTCCTTCCCTCCCTTCCCTCCCCCCTCCATCCATCCATCTTCATTCACTCATTCATTTACTTATTCTTTCATTCATTTGTTACTTTGTTCATTTTTTTGTTTCTTCATTCCTTCATTCATTCATGGCCAATTTTTAATCATTCATTCTAATTCCTTCATTATGTTACCCAACTTATTATATTAATTAGTGGTGATCGGATCGATATGGTGTTTAAACATACTATTCTGTGTTAGGAAAAATCGAAGTTCTACCCGTGGACATTTATAGTATCAATTTTCTGGATTGGGATATTCTCTTATTTAACACTCTGGTGGGCCGTTGTTGTTGGAGACACATTTGGAATTCACTCAGTGGTAAGTAGGARTTACATATTTGCATGATGGAGCATGGTGTGCGTGTCTGTGGGGGTGGGGGTGAGGAGAGTACATAGCTTGAACTCCAATCCTTATATCTAAAAAATTGAATGATTAAGTTTTTCTCACTTAAATATGTTGGAAATAATGTGATCTTTCCAAATTTTCGAAAGAAAGAAAGAAAAAAGACAGACATCAAAAGAAAGACGGAAAAAGAAGCAAAAAAMCCCACCAGAATTAACCCAGTTATTTTCATTTTCAATTTTTTTTCTCAGTACTAAACGAAGCTATATTTGACTCTCCTCAATCACTATTCCTTTTGTTATAATTTAGACATAGGAAAATTAACTGTGTTAAAACTTGATCAACCATTTTTCTTCCTTGTTTTTAGATAATGGGATTGACAGTTTTGGCTGGAGGAACCAGTATTCCAGACTTGATAACCAGTGTACTGGTGGCCAGGAAGGGATTCGGAGACATGGCCGTGTCTAGCTCTATTGGTAGCAATCTCTTCGACATCACCGTTGGGTAAGTTAGTCATATCATTGCGCACAGCTTCAGTGTAAATAAGTGGTTAGCTTTCTGAATTCTGTGCGAAATAAAGTTATTATTATTATTATTATTATTATTATTATTATTATTATTATTATATCTTATTACAGCCAATTGTTTTAGTCTGTGAAAAGCTCATTGTATGTACGAATGTATTGTGCCGTTACTGTGACCGTAACTGATTATTAAGCCATAGTTTTCTCCATACGCTGAGCCCTTTTCCCGCCAATTTATCCGTACATACGCGTCAGAGTGTCTACGCGTCAGGTTTTCCCCCGCCATTTCGCTAGACATACACTTCAGTCTTTTTCCCGCCAATTTCTCTAAACATATGCGTCAGTCTTTTTCCCGCCAATTTCTCTAAACATGCGTCAGTCTTTTCCCGCCAATTTCTCTAAACATATGCGTCAATCTTTTTCCTGCCAATTTCTCCAAACATGCGTCAGTCGTTTTCCCGCCAATTTCTCTAAACATGCGTCAGTCGTTTTCCCGCCAATTTCTCTAAACATGCGTCAATCGTTTTCCCGCCAATTTCTCTGAACATATCCGCCAACCATTTTTCGGCCAATTTCTCCTCAGAACATTCGCGCCAGCCATTTTCCCGCTTTCCAGAACTAAAGATAAGAAGCAAAAATAATTTACCCTATTTAATTCTTTTTTCAGTCTTCCTCTTCCTTGGCTTTTATACAGCGCMGTTAATTTAGGAAAATCAGTAAATGTGAGCAGCGATGGACTGTTGTGTTCGATTGTTTTACTGTTTGGTATGCTCATAGCRGTGGTACTATCCATTGCTATCTTAAAATGGCGAATGTCTAAATTACTTGGAGCTGCGATGTTCTTGCTATACATCGTCTTCATAATCATGTCGCTCCTCCTGGAGTATAAAATAATTCCATGTATAAAAGTAAGTATGAGGTAATTGTTGACTTATCAGTTTACCTACACTCTTTTGAAACTTTCTCGCATTGTTTCTAAGACGGAAAGCTATAGTACGTTTTATTCTGCTCCGTGATTTGGTCCATGTAATAGTACATACAAGGGTTTTGTTGGCAGTCATGTTGTTTGACTTTTAATCGAACCCTGAAACAACCTCTGGGCTGATCTAAGTCAGGGCACGACTAACTCACAGATGGAACCCTTTAACAACCTCTTGGCTGATCTAAGTCA